CCGCTTGAAGTTCCTGCAGGTTCGTTCAAGCTCCTGGTCTAATGGTAGTAGATCTCCCGACTGGCTACGGGTCATGCACTACCTGCACACAATCAGCAGAAGCAACCCGTGAAGGCACACAGGTGGAAGAGATAAAATGCAATAAAGAAAAAGCTAGAGTAACAAATGCTCACGTTTCCCCAATAACCTAGAGGCTCCCCGGCAACGGCGCCAAAAACTTGACACGCCAAAACACAACACCAAACTGCGACCAAGTGTAATCGCAGTCCGGGAATGCAGTAACATGCAAGTTCTATTATCAACCCGGGGTCTAGATCTACTGCTTACTCCGTGATTGTCTATTATCTAGCCAACTAATTCGATTGATTGTTGTTTAAAGCAAAAGCAGTAAGAAAGCAGGAAATGGTTCGGTTTTCTTAAGCAGGAAAGAGTCACTCGGGAATGAGTCCCCCTAGCCCCTTAGTTAGGTTCAATTGTAATTCCCCTGGGTTGATTCACTGTTGATTAGACTGCAGAAGATCCGACAGGAGCTTGGAATCTCTTAAGCTGACCAAGCCCTCTCAGTCTAACTACCCGGCAGACGACTAGTCTTCACCGGGTTAGAAAGCTGAGGCTATGAACACAGAACTCCACTACTGGAATTGAATTCCAGTACAAAGCAGTAAACTGGCTAACTCTCGTATAACCAATCTCCTACTATCGAATGAAGAGGCTCTAACAAACTAATCAGATTCTATCTATCTCAAGTTGCAGCAGAAATCGAGAAAAGCTGATCAGACTTCAATCAATTCAATAAACATGCATCATTTGATTAAAACCAAACAGTATAATCATCCCAAGTCATTACAATCAAATCCCTAACACAAGGAACTAGGGTTCTTCATACCCAAGTGAGAGAAAAGTTCTACTCCATAGAGAGAGAAAGGAAAACAGAAATCAGAGTAGTCATACTCATAAAGATGAGGAAAATATGCTCTGGGATGTCAATCTTCACTCCTGGGGACGCAATCTGGGCTTCAATGGTGAGAAATCCACTCCAAATAGCTCCTAGGGTTTGTTCTTCGCTCTTTCTCTCTCTAAAACTCTGTTTTTGCTCTAGAAACTCGAATCCTTCTTCCTTGGTTCGAATCTGCCTCCAAAAACCCGACTCTGGGCGAAATACGGGCAGAATTACGGCCGTAATCACGGCCTGCCCGTAAATCGCCCCAAAACGCACGTTTCAATTTACTCTGAAGGAGGAGGATCTACGCCCGTAATTCAGCAATTACCGCCAGTATTTTTGGAATTACGGTCGTAATTCTAGGGATGCTTGCCCGTAATTTTAGTGCCGAGGGGAATTCTTGGGAAAATAGTCTCGGCAATGGTTTTACGGGCATGCCCTGACCAATTACGGTCGTAATTTGGCAGGGGCTGCCCGTAATTTGTCCTGTGAATCGCCATCTGACCTCCAAATGACCCGAAACTTGCGCCTATGCACCTCTTTACTTGCTAGGACCTGAAAATACGACAAAACAACACAACCTAGCGTAAAGTAGGCCAAGGAACAATCAATTCGAGCTAAAATGGACAGGAAACCAGAGTGAAAACACGTGCAAATACGATGCTATCAGCGCCGTTGCCAAGGAGCAACGGTCTATTATTTTTAAAAAATCACTTAGTGTTACTCTAGCATTTTCTATCTGGACTTTTGTTTCATTATGTGTTTTATCGTTTTGTGTTTATTGACCCACTCTTCGCTTGAAGGGTGGTGTGTGTGTGTGTGTGTGTTTGATTCTCCTTTTTAGTATTTTTTTGTTTGTAGGTATTGGATCATGGATCCTTATGATTTCACTGACTCGCTCTAACTATCACAATAAAATCCCACCTAAGGTCCAAGTATAAACCTTAGATGGGTGCAATATAGGGCAAGTATGTTTAAATATCGACCAGGGCTGGTCCATGTACCGCTACTTTGACCATTTGAAACATTATATAGCAGATTGGTTTTGGTGAAAACAAAGGTCTAAAACTAAATAGCTTTGCAAAGGTAAAATGGATTAACTCTAGTTGAGAAAGCTTCACCCGGGTGTTGCTCTCCCTAGTTAACAATTATGAATTGAAGAATCGATCGACCATGTGTGGTTAGGGGTCATAAACTGCAGGGAAGCCTAATAAGCAGCCAAAGCTACCCTCTTAGCCTCTAGGTTGAGGAATGAGATACGATCCAAGCCACTAATGTGACCCTCTCAACCTATCAACTAAAGAATGGTTAGACTTCACCCTCGAATTGGAGTTTGCATGGCCACCCACAACCAAACCCTAAGTGCTAATGTGAAATAGGAGGTTTTCCCTTTAACTAACCTAGAATAGGAGGCATAGAATGCCTAAGGAAACCCATCTCTAATATAGCCTCTTTAAGTTAATAAGGGTTCTCTCTAAACTAGCTTAGGAGGCATTGAATGCCCAAGGAAACCCATCTCGATATGAGCCTCTTAGATTAAGAAGGGTTATCTCTAAACTAATTTAGGAGGGATTGAATGCCCAACGAAACCCGGCTCGAATCGAGCTCCTCTGGGTAAAGGAGGTTCCCTCTCTAAACTATCATAGGAGGCATGATATGCCCAAGAACACCCATCTCAAATTGAGCCTCCTAACCTAAGAAGGTCTCCTCTCTAAGTTAATTAGAATGGCAATTAGATGGATAGGCTTGCACACAACACAATCATTTCTGATTAATACTTCACATTCCACATTAAAAACACAACCACACACGAATCATTCAATTCATACAAGAGAGGGAAAAGGAAACCATCAAGAAGATGTAATCCTTGCTCCTTGTGCTGAAGAAATCCTCCTTTGGGGAAGGAATTCCCAAAACCTTGCTTAGAGATGAAACCCTAGCTTTTCCTCTTCTTTGGTTCATCACTTTCTCACTCTAAAATCTGAAGAAGGCGAATTTTCTCACGCTAGGTCTCTCTCCCTCTTCTTCCTTTAAGCATTCCTTTTAAGTGGATATCGCGGCTTGAGTTCACGGTCATGAACAATGAAACGCGTTCGTGAAATCTGTGCTGCGACCAAAACTCACCGCTTCGTTGGCTCGGGTTCACGGTCAGTGGCCTTTGTTCACGGTCTTAGTGACCGTGAACAGCCTGGGCGTCAGTAACCTGCAAACCCTCTCTGTTCGCTCCTTGCTTCACAGGTCATGGCTCCAGTTCATAGTCCTGTAAGACCGTGAACTCCAACGTCTGCCCGTGAACAGCGGTTGTCTCCACCTCTTTGCCCGTCTCAACCTCTCCCGTGAACACCATGTTCAAAATCAGCATAAACCATGTTCCATAACCTGAAAACAGAATAAACCATTCCATACGCGAGTCTAGACATTTCCTAACACATGCCTATTACATGTTCAAAATACAAAATAAGGGAGATGTCATTTTCTTGGTTCATCATAGCCACCCTTGCTTGTTTACTGTGTCTCGGGTTGAGTCGATGGAGGTTGCGTACTGTTCATGGGTTGCTGATCTTGTTCATTTGGTTCCCTCCTATTGTTGTGGGGCTCTAATACTCATCTGCAATATCAGGCAACAATTAGCATTGTTTTCACTTAAGAAAGCAATGTTCAGGCCACATCGAGTTTTAAAAGAGAGCAACTAACCCGAGAATACATGTTTCCATAAGTAGGATCAATGTAAACGTCGATTCCTTGTGTTTCCCTCCTCACTTCCCGTTCCATTTGTTGCCTCCTACAAGTGCCCATGCTTTCAATCAGTAACAAAAAAGTGAAGACATAATAAGTTGCATTCATTCACAATCTGCATTTTATAAAGACCATACTGAAATCTTACCTGAACTCCAACCCTCAACAGACAAGTCCTCGAGTTGTGATTAGTTGCCCCACATCTAGAACAATGAGGCCTTCTTCTAACTGTCTCCTGAAAGACAATTAAATTTAGATCTAACTATTCTATGAACAAATGAAATTTGAGAAGCATAGTAACAATTGACTTACCCCATTGTCAGGTGCAGACACTGCATTATGTGGGGCAGCACCTCCTCCCTTCTTTTCCTCTCGTTTCTTCCTTTTACTAGCCAGAGGAGCTGGTTGTGGTGTCGGTGGATTTGTGCAACTCCTCTTATTATGGCCCTCACCCCCACACCTCGTGCAATGGACTATATTGTGATGCCTTGTAGCAACCACACCAGCACCATTTTTAGCACTCTTCGTGAGCAACTCGGCAGCCTCCTTCCTTCGGTTTCTCTTTGGGCGGCCATGAAGTTTCCTTATCTTTGGAGGGTAGATCTTGTACCCTTCCACTGGCACCCAAGCTTGAGGTCGTTCTGAAGTTGGAATTGGATACTTGTATGAATTTTTCACATAATCCATTTGAAAGTACCGATGCACATACGCCTCAGGATGAAATATCATAGAACGAATGGCTGAAACGGCGTGGCAGCAAGGAATGCCATAAAGCCTCCAATATCCACATGTGCAGGTAGCAGTATGCAAATCAACAACATACCTTTTCCCATGTATCTGCACCTCATGTTTGTGAGCTGAAGATGGCCGACTAGTACACAACCTAGCTTCATCCTTATGCTTTTCAAGCTTACTCTTCACAACTGGACGAAATGTCCCTCTACAGCGACCCATCTTCCTTTTGTTGCTCACCAAACGAGTCATCACAGCCACCCTGATTCCCACTAGCATCAAACATCCTAAGCACTCGGAACTTCATGATCCAATTATCAAACGACTCGCACACATTGCTCTCCACATATCCACATTTTGAATGAGTCTTCATGAATACTCGACAGAACCTCTATGGTTCCATGGCCATAAAGTCCTCATACACAGTCCCTCCAAGTTCCTTCATCTTGGCAGTGGCAGCTTTCCAATCAGCCTCATTGGTGGAGTAGACTGCTTCCCAAAACAACGTGGTAGCCATATCAAATATGTGCTTTGCTTTAAAGTGTGCATGTACGTGGCAAGCACACTTCCTATGCTCTGCCTGCGGCAAGCACTCATGGATGGCATCGACCAAACCCTATGAACAGGTAGAAAATCAACAAGATAGTCAAATTAAAAGCAAGATAATATGTAAAGAAAATTAGCCGAATTGTAAACAATAGTCAAATTGAAATAGTAAGCTTACCTTTTGTTGGTCGGAAACAATAGTCCAACCATTGCCATCTAAAAGGTGCATCTTTTCTTGCAATGTTTGAATAAACCATGTCCACGAGCTCCCATTCTCAGACTCGACAAATACCCATGCTATCGGGTACATGTGATTGTTTCCGTTCTTTCCAACTGCACTAAGTAACATGCCTTTAACTACACCTTTCAAAAAGCAACCATCAAGGCAGAAGAAAGGCCTACACCCCTCCAAGAACCCTCGAGCCAAGCTTGAAAAGCCCACATGAAATTGTTTGAAGTAGACCTTCTCTGATCTAGGATCCAAATCAACCTCTAGACGAAATGTTTCATCCGGGTCCACTCTCTGAAGATGCCCTACATATGAACGCATCCGATGAAAATCTTCTTGCAATGTGTCATGGATAATGCGTCTTGCTTCTATGCGAGCTCGGTAACAAGCTTTTCGTGTCACCTCCAGGTTGTGCTTATGCTTTATCTCAGCTGCCATCAAATTCACATCCCAATCTTGCTCCACCCTAAACCGCTCCATATATTCAGTAGCTATCCACTTGGCAGTAGCACCGCGGATGCGAAATGAATGCGGGTGATGACTCGGTATTTGCACATGTTTTCCCCTGTGTTTCTTGATCTATTGAGCTTTAATTATCACATCTTTGGCCTATTTTACGCTAGGTTGTGTTACTTTGTCATATTTCAGGTCCTAGCACATAAAGTGAAGCATAGGCGCAAGTTTCAAGTCAATCAGAGATCAATTGGCGATTCGGGAGCAGAAACTCGGGCATGACCTGAAGAAGAATTAATTTCTACCTCACTTTATGGACAAAGAATCATGAAAGCTTGTCATGAAAAGAAATAGGACGAGACTACGAGCGTCTGGGATCAAACGGCGACTGATTCGGAGTCCGGACGAGGGAGAAACGAAGCATTGAATATAGGGGAACAGGTTCGGCAGTAAAAACACGGGCGCGCCTAAATCAAAACACGGCCGTGCCCATATTTAGGCACGACCGTGTTTTGGCCAACGCGCCCGGGCGTGTTTTTAACACGGGGGCAAAACACGGGCGGGCAAAACCAAAGCACGGTCGTGCCCGCGACCGTGTTTTGCCCAGAATCGGGTTTTTTAACCCAAATTCGAGCCAAAGGAGAGGGAGAGCTGGGTTTTGGATCCCAAACATCCAAGGGACGAACCCTAGAGAGAGAGAACGACTTGGGAACATTCTTGGAGCTATTTTGGAGGATTTCTTCGCCATTGGAGCTCGGGAATCAAGCTTGGAGATGGAGATTGAAGATCTAGATCAGATTTCTGCAGTCTCTGTCTTCTCTATGGAGTAACTTCCCTTCACTTAGGTTTTGAGGAACCCTAGCTATGTTTGTTTGATTGGATGATTGTATGAGTACTCTGACTTGATAATCTTGAGTTCATTTTCAATCTATGCATGTTTTCATGATTCAATTCTGCTTTAGTCGAGATTATTGATTCTGCTTTGATCCTATGAGAGCGAATACCTGATTAGGTCAATAGAGCACCATAGATTGATAGTAGTGGATCGATTGCTTTAGTCGAGGGTTGATTCACTGCTTTGTATCAATTAAGAACCTCATTCGATAGAGGGAATCTAGTTCAGAACGCCTTGATCGGTTGTTCTAGAGAAGGATACGTCCCTCTAGGCAATTGACTCAAGAGGGCCTTGTTCCTTTAGTCGAGACTCAAGGTCTAGTCAAGGATTCTCCGCATTGTGAATGAAAGTGAAACATGTTAGAGATCATCAATCGTTAATCTGGCTAGTGGCTAGGGGGAATCATACCTAAGTGAGTTCCCAACCTGTAATTAGATTAACTTTAACTGTAGTTTGTTAGAGTAGTTTTAGATCTTTCATCTTAATCTGGTTTGGTAGATAATGAACTGAAGCTGAGTAATAGTAACTCTAGAGACCCGTGGATTCGATATTTATTACTTGAGCCACTATACTGCAGTCCCTTCATTGGTTACACTTGGCCTTTGTTAGGAGTTGTGTTTTAGCGAGTCAAGTTTTTGGCGCCGTTGTCGGGGACGGCTAGGTTGTTGAAGAAAACTGATTTCTGTTACTTTAGCATTTTCATTTTTTGCATTGAGTTTTTGTTTTTCCCACTTGTGCCTTCACGGGTTTGCCTTGCTTGATTGTGTGCAGATAGTGCATGACCCGTAGCCAGTCGGGAGGTTTACTGCCGTTGGATCCAGAGATTGAACGCACCTGCAACCAACTTCGGAGACAACAGCGAACTAGACTGGCTACGGTGGAGTACAGAGACGGCCAATTGAGCAGCGAATCCGAGACGAGCGCGAGATGGAGGGCGAAGACATCCACAACCGGGGAATGCCCGACAGGCTCCCCCGGTGAATCAGCATCCACCACCACCGCCGGGTCCCACCTTGGAGTACTACTACACTCCACGGATTGCTGACATCCGCCCGGTCATCCTCTATCCACCCATCCTAGCAAACAACCTCGAGATCAAGCCATGCTGGATTCAACTCATTACATCATCTATCCAGTTCCATGGTTTGAAGGATGAGGAGGCCCGGGCACACCTTTCCCGTTTTCTGCAGCTGACGAACGGGTTCAAGCTGAATGGTGTTCCGGATGACGCAATCCGCCTTCACCTCTTCCCCCATTCTTTGGCGGGGAATGCTAAGAGGTGGTTGGAGACCCAGCCCCCACTGTCCATAACTTCTTGGGACGATCTGGCGGATAAGTTCGTGCACAGATATTATCCGGCATCGAAGACTACTGAGATTCAGCGGGAGATCACTCACTTCCGCCAAGAGCCAGATGAGTCCCTTCGCGATGCATGGGAGCGGTACATGGGATACTTCTGGCAGTGTCCCCATCATGGCTTCAGCGATGCTTTCACAGTGGGGAACTTCTACAGTGCCCTCACCCCAGACAGCCAGAGGGTGATCGAGTCTCTATGCCCAGGAGGGGATATCCTTACTAAGACTCCACCAGAGCTGAACCAGATGATCAGTACTTTGGCTGCCCGCGATCATTCCTGGGGGCAGAACAACAGAGGTAGGAATTCCCGGGACCGAGGTGTGCATGCTATGGAGGCCAGATCCGGGTTAGAGCAGCAGGTGGCTGAGTTGGTGCAGACATTGAAGCAGCCTAACAGTCTCCTTCCGGGCCGAGGTGTAGCTACGCCTCCAGTAGCTCAGTGTCAGTGGTGTGAGAGCCCAAATCACCTGGTGGAGGATTGTCAATCTACGAGGGAGTCCTCCACTCCCCAAGAGCAGGTGGCCTTCATCGCCAATGCTCGGCGCCTCGACCCATACAACAACACCTACAATGAAGGATGGCGCCAGCATCCCAACTTCGCCTGGAGCAGCAACACCAACAAACCACCTGGTTTCCCAGCACCAGCAGGTGGTTTTCAGCAGAGGCAGCCCTTCCAGGATAGGAAGGGGCCACCACCATAGCAGCAGCCCTACCAGCCTAGGCAAGGGCAGCCATTCCAGCAGCCTCAGCGTCAGTATGTCGAGCCAGCAGCAGCGCCAGCTCCCGATAATCAGATGACCGAGCTGAAGAACATTTTGGCAGCATTCATGACCACCAGCCAGGCAAGTATCACGAGGATGGATCAGACCATAGCTTCACTGGAGGCAGGCCAAAGAACCTTGGAGGCAGGACAGAGGAACCAGGGTGCCATTCTGCAAGATTTGCAGAACCAGGTTGGCGCCATAGCTCGCCAAATTACTACTCGGGCCCCGGGGACTCTACCTGCCACCACCATCCCTAATCCACGGGACCCGCATGAGACCGCACATGCCATTTTCACCCTGAGCGGCAGGCCTACATCAGCTGATCCTGCCCCGACCAGGCAGGAGGAACCACTACCTGCTTCAGCACTTCCAGCCGGTGATGCAGAAGTGCGGGTGGAGAAGGAAGCCCCTGCTCCCAAGCCACAACCAGTGGTTAAGGAGCATGTGCCCCAGCTTCCCTTCCCCACTCGCCTACACAAAGACAAGCTGGAGACTGAGTTTGCCAAGTTTATGGCAATGTTGAAGCAGCTCAACATCAGCGTACCATTTGTGGAGGCACTGTCGAAGATGCCCAAGTACGCAAAGTTCATGAAAGATCTCTGCACCAACAAGAAGAAACTTGGGGATCTCTCGACAGTGCTGCTGAGCGAGGAATGTTCTGCCATCCTGCAGAACAAGCTGCCCGAAAAGCGCAAGGATCCAGGGAGTTTTACTATCCCTCTTACTATTGGCAGCATGCATGTAGGAAAGTCCTTGGCGGACCTAGGAGCTAGCATCAATGTCATGCCATATAAATTGTTCAAAAGCTAGACCTAGGTGAACTTAGCCCTACTAGGATGAGCATTCAGCTAGCTGATCGTTCCGTGGTGCATCCTAGGGGTATCATAGAAGATTTGCTTGTTAATGTGGGTGCATTCACATATCCTGTTGATTTTGTTATTCTGGATATAAATGATGATGTGGATGTGCCTTTGATTCTAGGTAGACCATTTCTTGCCACCGCCAAGGCACTGATTGATGTGCATGATGGTAAACTGATCCTGCGTGCTGGAAATGAACAAGCTATTTTTCCTGTGACTGAGTTTGATCATTGTGCTATGATTTCTGTATCGCCTGTGCATGCTATTTCTGATCAGGTACACGAGCCTGTCGTGTACCCTTCTGCACCTCTCATTTTGCAGGACCCGCCTATCATTCCTTCGCCGCCACTCCATCCAGTCTCGCCTCCGAACAAAAAGCTCAAGGAGGAGTGGCGACCGAAGCCGCAGGTGGCAAAGCCGGCACGGAAGAAGAGTGGAGACCACTATGAGCTGGTCCCACCCCCTGCACCACGACCACCCTGGCCATCCGAGTACTCACTCGCCTGCATCTTGCCGGATGGCCAGGTCGAGCTGACCGATGCTGGTGGTTGCAACCGTCGGGTGCACGGTCACCACCTGAAGCTGTACCTCAAGAGCGATGTGGATCCGCTCTTGGAGGCACCTGTTCCTGCACCTCCCTGAGTATCCACCATGGGCGTCCAGCTAAAAGACGGTAAAGAAGCGCTTGTGGGGAGGCAACCCCACCATGGTTTTCATTTATTTGTTTTGTTTCGAGTCGGATTGCGATTTGGTTCGGTTTTGGTCTGTTTTCCTTTGTTTTGGACGATGTATTATTGGGCTGACCATTGGACCTAACATATCGTGTTAGAGCTCTTTGGTTTCCTT